AAGCGGAGAAATTCTGCTGGTTCTCTTTGTTTCCTTGTCATTTCTTCCCATACAAAGGCCACCTGCTTTTAGAAGTTTTTGTATTCTGACAAGATCAATGTTTGTAAGCCAATTAGAAGCTTTTGTATTCTTCCTTCTATGAAATTCTCTTATTGGATATGCTTTTATGTGATACCACCTGACACCATCCCATTCTTGCGATCAGAAGTCTCCACTAGCTGAGACGGTTGGTTGATCCAAGAACAAGGAAGGGAGATCGACCACCACTTGAAAAGAATCAAGGTATAAAATTTGAGAGAACACCGTCCAAGGCTTGCAATCAAAAGTCCCCATGGGCGGAGATGGTTGGCTGCTGGGAACAAGAATCTTGACTACGTCCGTGACTCCTCCTGCCGGCCTCCGGACTGCACCTTCTTCGTACACGTCCACTTCAGCTCTGGAGTCGTGCCTCTTTGCATTGCCTTTGGTCTACTTTGTGTGAATAAGGCCTGAGATCTCTGGTATGATCCCAATCTTGAATCAAGAAGCACCAGCTACGAGACCGGCGATGTCCGCTCCAGGCCTAACTCCCGCCTGCAGACCTGTGCAATCGCTCAACAAGCGACCAAGCCTTGATCCGTCTTCGCTCGCTCCTAGCCGGCGATCGATGCGATTCCGCCTTCTGGTCGCGGATGTCACCGGAAGCCTCCTCTCTTTCTTGACCTATTGGGCAGAGATGTGAAACCAAGAAACCACTTTGAATAAATTCAAGATACAGGAAGAGAGAAATCTCTCTCTCAAAAAAAAAAAAAAAAAAAAAAAAAAATTCAGGCCAAAATTCTCTCCGGCATCTTGCTAGCTCTGATACCAAATGACATCGGATCGGAGGGGGCTCGACGAATCCACGTCGATGATCCGATGGCGGACGTCGGACACCACTCCAAGAACTCCTTCTTGGAGGAAGAACCACCACCTAAGAATATTCTTAGGATACATAAATTCACAAGAGAGTAAAACTCTAATTTTATTAATTTCCAAATCTCCCCTAATACAATCAATGTCTATCTATTTATAGACAATAGTGGCAATATAATAGGCTACATTAAACATAAACAAGAAGTAATCCTATGTAGCCATAGAACTACCAACTTGAATGAAACTATCCTGAAGTTAATACAATTAACGGCTCAACTCCGACGTCATGGACTTTTAAACCATTCTTATAAGATCGTGACAAATATATGAAGAACTTCCAAAATGAGACTTTTCAACATCTACATAGATATCTCTAGCCAAGACCATCAAACTAAAATCATGTTAGATCTTATATTTCATTTATTTTACTACATTTAAAGAATTATTTTTTGGAGGACACTCAATTAGTGACTCCTTGCTACTTGGTTGAAATCCCTCATCTATCTGTGTCTCTTAATGATGATCGTCACAATACCATCAAATCAACTTATCCTATTCATGCATTACTTCTATCTTGTGAATATTTTAAAGTGGTGTGCCACCGCATAATATCAATGGCCTCTTTCATGAAGCAATTCAAAATAATCATCAATGTCTGGATCAAGTTGACTTACCCTTATTATTCAATCTTTATCTTACCCCCATTTAGACTTTCAAGAGAGTTCTGATCACTGCTTGTCGATGTCATCCATTATCATATACTGATGGGTTTAAGTTCCTAATCAACTTTTCCATATGATGCTAATTCAACATATACAAATATATTGACCACTATAAGAAGATAAGTTAAAATTTAGTTGTTCAAATTTAAATTTTAGAAACTATTTGTGAAAAAAACAAAATTTATTCAAAGTAAAGGTAATAAAATATTGCAAATAAAAGTAACCTGAGCCATAGAGATGTGGTTGAGCTGAGGAAGCACATGTTTATGATTAGATGTAATAAGTGATCACCTTGAATTTCTATAAGTTAAATACTCATTTGAATCACATATAAACAAGCCTCCACAAATCTTTCCCTTTAAGAGATTCATACCCTTCACTTTGTTGCAATATAAAAATTAAAAATAATCCCCTACCAATTAATGTGTATTTACACTTCTAATGTAAAATTATTAGGATATACTTCTAATATAACTTTCATATTTTATTTTTCTTGCCATTTTTGATATTTATTCTTGTGATGTTTACATATGAAGAAAAAAATAATTTTTTTTTTATCGATGGATCAACCTTCATATGCTAATCAAATTCTTTGAATGGATGAAATACCATTAAACAAAATTCCTTGGTTTATTTGCTATCATCAGATTAGGTTGATATGAGCTCATTTGGTCCGCAATCTCTCCCATTTGGGTGATGAAAAATATTTTTTAGAAAACTATTTTATATAGTACATGCGGTTACGTAGAAGTCCCACCAAATATGCATACATTAAAAAAATGTTATATAGAATAATATAATGATATACAATAAAAACCAATAAAAATAATTGCGAACAAAAGAAAGTAGGGAATTGTCTTTGCTTTTTCACCCTTTTATTACATTAAAATATAGGAGTGTCAAAGTAAGAAATGCAACTGAAGATAATCAAATTAATAAATATTACATTGCATGAAAATGTATTTGAGTTCAAATTTCATCATCACCATCATCATTTCCATAATAGGAACATGGCACTAATCATTAGAAAGTTCACTTCTCATTAATATAATGTTAAATCATTTGATTTTGATGACATTCAATCCAAAGAAAAAACTTTTGATATCCTCATAAGTCATCCCTACAATGAATTAGAAGATGATGCTAGTCCACAAGGACAATAAGTCTTACTAAAGCAAAAGAGGCAATGAAAGTTTGCTGCACATAATGGTCATGGATAGTGCTTCGTAGGATACATTCTCAAATTCAAATTAGGATGTTTAGATGTTTAGATATATTTGATCATATGACCAAGTTATCTAGCTTTAAAGGGGTGGATTTAAGGCTTTCAATTACTTAGGTGGGTTGTTACGAATTATAAAAATGATTGAAGGAATTTTGGTGGAGTTATAACTCTAAAGTGAAGATAGTTACAGGAGGAACTAGAAGTATAAGAAGGAAGAAGCAAAGCAATTAATGTGGAGAAGAAGCTTCAGTATATTAATTTCTCTATAGCAGGTATATACATAAGTACATGTATAAATATTACTGATTATGTACATATAAGACTAGACATATTAAGGAGAATATTTTGAAATACAACACAAGTAGATATTGATAGCCACAACTGAGTGGTAAAGCAGAGGTTTAAAACAGTGGGCATCAATGTTGCACTAGATAGGAGGGTGAGGAGCATACGAGGTAGGCGATGTGCTCATCACTATAACTTATCATAGAAGGCATGCCAGACAAACTCTTTGACAACCCGTAGGGTTGTGCTACGAAGGTGAATTTAGGGAGTAGATCTTATTGAAAGTGATGAAAAAAATATTATGATAGATAATTAAAAGTTTTTGCTGCAGATTCAAAAGATTTGATAGTGTGATTGATGCTAAGTAAAGATTAAATTAAGATATAGGCAGCTTTTTAATTAATCTTGAAATATATAATCAGTAGATGACTCAAAAAATGTCATTAGGGGATGAAAAGGCTTAAGATGAATGAAAATAGACAATTTCAACATAATTTTTCTTAGAAAGTTTAGCTGTGTTTAACGAGCAATTATTAGGTCCTTTCACTGGATGTAGAGGAAGTTTCGGTTTTAGTCAAAAATAGGTAAAAAGTGCAAATACTCAAAAAACTCGGTATTTTTTCAAAAAACTCGGTATTTGCACTTTTTTAGGCAAAACCGAACCTTCCTCTAGGTCCTTGCACCGGACCAAATAAAAACTCGTGTTTAACGGCCATTTCTAAGATTTCTTTTAAATTGCTTACCATCATATTTTGTCCTATTATTTCCCAAACCCGGCTTCGTTTGATTACTAATTCTCTCTCCTCATTAAATAATCGTTCACACTGAAAATTAGCTATTATTTTGTTTTCTTTACAGATTTTTATTATTGACTTCCTCAGCTTGAATTGGGTACACGAATCGCTTGGTTTTCTTATTAATTAAGCCGTATAATTTTGAATTCTTAAAAAGAGAGCAAAATCTTTCCCTATTAAGATTTGTTTGAGAATTTTTTTTACTACTTTTTAAACTAAAATTTTAGTACAAAAGTTTATAAAACTAAAAATTTATTTATAAAATAATAAAAAAAATTATCTCAAATAAAAACTAAATTAATTAGATGGCCACAAAAACATTTACTTGCTAATCTTTGACATAGAAATTTTTTATTCAAATATTATATAATAAAAACTGAAATTATTAAATTATTTTAAGTAAATAGAATATAGTATTATTTGATTAGTTATATCATGTATTTATCTCCAAAATTAAGTAACTATAAATTTGTATGAGATAACTAGAAATTAATTATATTTAAATTCTATATTTTAAAACAAATCTAATAACTTAAAAAATCCTTTAAAAAATATTATAATGATGCGTTGCAACATGCAATTAAACTGTTTATTTGACTAATTTACTATACCTTTTTCCACTAGTTTTGAAATAAAATCAAAAAATTATATTAAAATACGTAGAATATATCAAATTTTGTAATAATTTTTTTTTTAAATTTTCACGTAGAATACTGTAAATAATAAAATTTAAGTATTTAAAATTTAATTAAATGCGGATAAAAACTATCATGCCTATATATTTTTTTTTCTGCCTATAATTTTCTTTGTAAGTATTTATCATATTTTTAAAATACCTATAAACTATGACTTTTCATAAAATAATACGATATATTTAATTATGAATAATAAATCATAAAAATATAATTTAAATTAACATTATTATGATTTTAATATTCTTATATTTATTGCATGTTGACTAATTGTTGAGCAATATTATTACAAATTTTCACACTCATTCAAATATGGAAAATAAAATAATCCGTAATTATACGAGAAATAAATTCTTTCACAGTAAAATGGGCTGATTACTTTCTATTAGAAGCTCCTTGCCGCACCAAACTGGAACCCCGTGGTGCACAGTGCAAAATTTTGCAATATTGGCTGTCATTCCGGAAAAAAAAAAACAGAAATTTGCAAAAACGTCCAATCGATTTGAATTCTCCAACGCAGATGCCGTAGAATCGGGATCAGACAGCGGAGAATCCTTCTCGCCGAATAGAACGAAAACGATGAGCCAAAAATAACCTCTCTTTTGAGATCGGGCCTATAAAAATGGGGGTCCTCTGCTTTCTCTCACCATACTCCTTTCTCATCCTCTGTCTCCTCCCCCTTTCTCCCCGGTAGCAAAGGTCGACGGAAGAATGGAGAATGATCACGGCAGCGTCGTTGAGGATCATGGGGTTGAGATGTCGGAGCAAGGACAGATCACTCATCGGAGAGGGAAGAGAGATGAGAACGGCTCGGTGGAGACCGCGAAAGCTTCAGCTGCGGATCAGGAGATGGAGGAGATGACGTCGATCGAGAAGGTGTTTGAGGGGAAGAGGGTTCCGCCATGGAAAGAACAGCTTACGTTTCGTGCGTTGGTGGTGAGCTTCGTCCTCTCCATCATGTTCAGTATAATCGTGATGAAGCTCAATCTCACCACTGGAATCATCCCTTCGCTTAACGTCTCGGCTGGCCTGCTCGGATTCTTCTTCGTCAAGTCGTGGACGAAGATCCTTGAGAAATCTGGTCTCCTTAAGCATCCTTTCACTCGACAGGAGAATACCGTGATCCAGACATGTGTTGTCGCCGCTTACGGAATTGCTTTCAGCGGTAATTAATAAGTCCTTTTCTTCCTTATCTCGATCATAATAGATTTGTCGGCATTTTTCTATCAAATACCTGTTTGATGCATGTTTTTTGGAGATGAAAATTGATGGTTGAAACTGATTGGAAAAGACGTGGATTGGGTTTGTGATGAAAATTGCATGATTTAGGAATCTGGATTTTTTTTTGGGAATATTGGAATCTGGTTGAAAAACATTCTTTAAGAAAACCCCTTTTAGAATTCTGAACATAAATTTCATAAACTTTTTCTAGGATTCTTTTTTTTTTTTTCAAGATTCTAAACCCTTGTGGTAAATACCACTTGAATACAAGCCCGATAAACTTTTTTTTTCAGTTATTTTTATAAATCTCATTAGAATTTGCTCATTTTTTAAATTTAATCAATAAGAACATCTAGTGGCATATATGCATAATTTTTTTTTATAAATCTAGTATTATTAATAGAATATATTATGCAATCGTAATATTTCTTCTAAAATAATAACTAATTGCATGATATAATTTGACAATAATTCCTGTTACTTTTATAAATAAAAAAAAAACAAATTATAGAAAAGAATTGGTCAGGATATCATTTAAAAGTTTGTTCAGATCAAATTAAAAAAATTTCAATTTAGATGCGTGTGATTCAAATTTGATTAATCATATAAAACAATTTTAAGCAGGATAGGAAATACATCCGTCCATTTGCCGCAAACTTTTTCTTGTTTTTGTTAATATTTAATTCACGCAATTTATTCATGGTCAATGTAAGCCGTCAGTTTCTTCGTGTTCCCTCTGTCACGGCGATGATGCCGCAGAAGCAGTCTTCAGCGGGCTAGTAAAATATTCTGAAAGGCGTGAATTTGTTTTTTTGCCTGATGGGCCTGTTTTGTGAAAACGTTCGATTTGTCTTTTATATTTTGTTGCAATGCTAGGTGGCCCATCAATAGGGAAATTAAGGGATAGCTACCCATCTATTAATTTTCCTGCCCTAGTGTTCTGGTTTTGGAAATCAGTTGAATTGAATAATCAAACATCTTTAGGCTCGTGCATGGTTGTCCAATTTTCATTTTTTGAACTCTAGTTGCACTAATCGAGGAGTTGGATAAGATGTACTTTTTTAATGATTCACTTGTGATTTTTAATTGCATGGATATGGGTTAACTCTGTTTGTTAACTGTGCTGAAAAGGACGGCTCCTTAATCTAGTAATTTTAGGGCTCCATTGCGCTTTGGATGATTGTCTAGAGAGACTTTAATATTGATTGATACAATAATAGTATGATTCTTGAAGCTAATCATAGTATGATTCAAGCATAGATGGTTTCGCCACAGTAACTTTTTAGAGGAAGCTTTGTAAACTAGGATGTTGTGTTAATATTAGATACGTTGGATACACAGGAATTCTAACAATCCGCTAGGATGCTGTATCAGTAGATGATACTTTATGAAAGCGTTGGTTATGCCACATGGCTTTTCTGATTGAAATTTCAAAAAAATGTTGAATTCCTTTATCGGATAGGTTTGTCCAATTAAAGCATTCTTCAAAAGGATGGTAATATGCTTCTTATTTTGTTTGATAAGATATGATATAATTGGGCATATATAGGCGCTTCTTGTAAGAATAATAATATTTACGTTTAGTATTGCTTATAATCTAATTGGTTTGTGCAATTCAGCCCATCCAAAGTAAAATGTCACTATAAAAGATGCAAACAGTATTTCCCCTTGATTTCTAGCATTTTAAAAAAGTTCATGTTGGAGGTGAGTGGCCAACATCAAGGTATCCTATCTCCATTTTACAAATGCTCCATCTATAGCCCTAAATCCTAGCATGAATCTTCCTGCTATTCAAGAGTAGGCTCTCTTCCTACTAGATTCTTCTCTTATTGCCTTTAGGTATAAGTTAGTAAATTGAGATATGATTTTGCACATTCACTGTATATTTTCTCTGCTTTATATTCAAAATGGTACATAATAATTCATACGCACATGCAAAGTACACAACATCGAATTCTACCACAAAATTTATTGTTGATCGAATCTTCAGTTAAGCATGGCCCTAAACCTTATAATTTTACTGTAATAGTACTTGAATAGGCCATCGTAGGGAAGAAATTCCCGTCCATGCTTTAGGTAATGATATGAATATGGGAAGATGACTAGAAAACATTCATCTTCAAGAATGTAATGAAAGCACATATTATGTAGACTATAATAATATGTTTATAGATTCAATTCCTCTTTTTCATTGATCGGTTGTTTATAAATTTTGTTCTTGTAAATGACAACAGGTGGTTTTGGGAGCTATCTATTTGCAATGAGTTCAAAGACGGCAAAGCAATCAAGCGAAGCGACGAGTTCGCAAGACATCAAGGATCCACAATTAGGATGGATGATTGGATTTCTTTTTCTTGTCAGCTTTATCGGACTCTTTTCACTTGTTCCCCTTAGAAAGGTTCTACTCACCACGTGCATTTTCTTTTTATAATGGAGAAAAACAGTTTTATGTATGTATGTTTTGAAGTAAGTCATCATATTTTTTATTGTAATCTATCTGCTCTAAAATTTATTTCAGATCATGATCATAGACTACAAATTGAGCTACCCAAGTGGCACTGCAACAGCTTTCCTTATCAATGGCTTCCACACCCCCCAGGGTGCTAAGTTAGCAAAGTAATTTCAGAAACTCAAATCAACCTATTTTTTCCAATGGATACAAGGGATTCAAATAAACAAAATTTCTCTGATATTATTGTAGGAAACAAGTCAAGCTGCTGGGGAAATTCTTTGTGGGCAGTTTCTTATGGGGATTCTTCCAATGGTTTTACACAGCTGGTGATAACTGTGGGTTTGTCAACTTCCCAACATTAGGCCTTGAAGCTTATAAAAATAGGTAATATATCCTATTCATATCATAGTTTACATAGGTTTTTTTATTTTTTCAAATGATTAATGTCATCCTTTCCAACAGGTTCTATTTTGACTTTTCTGCTACTTATGTTGGTGTCGGAATGATTTGCCCATATCTTGTCAATGTATCTGTCCTTTTGGGTGGTATTCTATCTTGGGGCATCATGTGGCCACTTATTGGAAATAGAAAAGGCAATTGGTATTCAGCAACTCTACCAACATCCAACCTTCATGGCCTGCAGGGTTACAGGGTAATAATCCTCAATCTTCTTATCTGTTACTCTAGAGAAAATATGGCTAAAATTTTTAAATTTAATCATTTAAACAAATATGTTGTGCCATTTCAGGTATTTATATCAATTGCAATGATTCTTGGTGATGGTCTCTACAATTTTGTCAAGGTTTTAAGCAAGACTATACCTGCTATTATCGCCCATGCTAGAAGCAAGAATATGGCCAGCACTCTGCCTCTCACTGAAAACGGTTTTCCTGCTACCGATGCTACGATATCCTATGATGAGCAACGTCGTACTGAGCTTTTCCTTAAGGATCAAATTCCTAAAAAAGTAGCATTTGTTGGCTATCTTATAGTTGCTATTATCTCCATTGTCACAGTACCTCATATATTTCCTCAGATCAAATGGTATCATATCTTGGTGACATATATATTTGCACCAGTACTTGCCTTCTGCAATGCTTATGGCTGCGGCCTCACAGATTGGTCCCTAGCATCGACCTATGGAAAGCTAGCCATCTTTATCTTTGGGGCTTGGGTCGGTGCATCCCATGGAGGAGTGCTTGCTGGTCTTGCAGCATGTGGTGTGATGATGAACATTGTCTCCACTGCTTCTGATCTAATGCAGGACTTCAAGACTGGTTATCTCACTCTTGCCTCCCCAAGGTCCATGTTCATTAGCCAGGTTATTGGAACTGCTATGGGCTGTGTGATTGCACCTTGTGTCTTTTGGCTTTTTTACAAGGCTTTCGCAGATCTCGGCGTGCCCGGAACAGAATACCCGGCACCGTACGCTCTGGTTTATCGTAACATGGCAATACTTGGTGTTGATGGCTTCTCCTCACTGCCGAAGCATTGCCTCACCCTCTGCTATATCTTCTTCGCCGGTGCTATCCTCATCAACATGTTAAGGGATGCGGTCGGGAAGAAGTGGGCACAATACATTCCACTTCCAATGGCCATGGCAATACCATTTTACATTGGACCATATTTTGCCATTGATATGTGCATGGGAAGCCTGATATTGTTCATCTGGGAAAGGTTAGATAAGACGAAGGCCGATGCATTCGCCTCAGCAGTGGCATCTGGTTTGATTTGCGGAGATGGAATATGGACTCTGCCGCAATCCATTCTTGCATTGGCCAAGGTGAAGCCACCTATATGCATGAAGTTCCTATCAAGGAAAACGAATGACAAGGTTGACACCTTCCTTGAGACATTGTCCTAGATTTTGTTCCTCAAGTTAGCTCATTTTGATTAAAAAAGCCTCTTGTTTTATGTGGTTGTATGGACTTGTTTATATAAAGCTTTGTTTGGTTGTAATTAAAATGTTAGACTCAAATTGTTGTTTTTTTCTTTTAAATAGTGAAATGCATGGTTTTGGTACTATTTGTCTTCTTGTATATTGTCACTATTGCCATTGTTGCCATTGTTCAATTCAACATGACTTGTCTTTGGCCACTATTCTATTGGATGACCCCACATTTTTTTTATCATCTTTCTTCACAATGCTTAACTAGCTAAATCTTTGATCCTATATAAGTTCATGAGAGAGAATTTTGTTTTATTTTTTGCCACATTAAATTGATTATTGATTCTCATACTCCCAACAACATGATTCATTTTAGTAAACTAATTTAATAGTGATTATATAAATATAATTCTTAAATCTTTGTAATATTGTTTTTTTTTAATGAAATTCTTTAGGTATTTCATTTTATATTCATTCTCTTACACATCAAAGACATCCTATGACTTTTCTCCTCAAGAACACAAAAGAAGAAGGAAAAAAAAAAAAAACTTTAGCACTTAATTTATGTTGAATCAAGCAATTGGGGCAAAAAAAATTTCAATGCATTTTCTTTATTAATTTTCATTTCCATTGTTGAAATTCTTACATAAAAAATAGATCCTTAATATTTGTTGAGAAATTATTCCTTGCATCTTTCTTCTTGTTTCTTATGGGCTTTTCAATTGTTTGTAGAAATATGATAAATATAAGAACTCAACCATAAATAACCAATCAAAGAGAGGAAGCTTAAGTAGTCAAATTGCACTTCATGCCCAAAGGTGTTGAAATGTGGAGCAAAAGATGATCTTATCATAGTAAAATATAGAAAAAAAGGCCATGTCTCCTTGTAACTAGAGCTTTCGAGAAGATGAGAATAATTATAAGAAAACATAGAGGTTCTGATGTTGAGAGCAGAGTTTTAGTTGCTAGTTGTAGTTTTAATACTAATTCATATATGTTGGTCGGTCATAAAGTAGCCAAGAAAACGAATTTCATGGCCTTATTGATGACTTTGAATCCTTCTCATTCCAAAAGCACCATCACAAATAAGCCATAATTTAGAGTTTGATTCGTGCAATACAACCATGATATCGTTATATGAGTCTGGTTCTTTAAATTGGGAGCAAAAATTGTTAATCATAGACCTCCACTGTGATCTCCATATAGTAAATGATGAACACTTATTTATGATAAGATGATGGGGGCGGTGAAGTAACCTAAGATTTGTGAAGATAATTTAGGGCTCTATCAATTTCTAAACAATGCTTAGATTTATTAAAATGATTTAAGACATTTGATATAAAAAATTATAAGACAAAAACATAACATTATTTTTACTTATCATAAGACATTTGTTATATACTAAAAGTTGAATATAATGATATTTTTATTTATTTGTTGTAACCAAATATTAACCATAGCATTAGTCGGTTCATTATATTATTTATTAATTTGTTATTCATATTTGTATGCAATGTAAAGAGCTATAGTTGAAGTATTAGTTTCAATGTCCTTAAAAAAGTGAAAATGGATAGATAATGTTAAAAATTAAGGACATAGTTCTTTAAAGTTATGAACAATTTTATTTTAAATTATTCTTATATTAGTTAAAGCGCACATGCATTAGTAAATGCTACTGGATTCCATTTTATTGTATTTTTTTGCTGTTGACAGCTAGAAGAGCAAAGCATTGTTCTACAAAAATATCACTCTTAAAAGCATTTAGACAAACACTATGCATGCACAATAAATTTTTTGTACATTCAAGAGGCAGCCACTAATTTATCTACAACTTATAGTGGCAACTGTAAATTCAGATAAATTGGGATATCTATTTGACTACAGAAACCATATATATATAACATCCAATTGCATTTATGAGAATGATTTCAAGCTCCAAGCAATGAAATCACATGAGAGCTCCAATAATATTTCATGAATGCATCACTTATTATCAGTTTTCAAGCAAAGAGAGTTCTGGTTTGTCTCCGGCTCCTGTTCGCAAGCCCAACGTTGAGTCGCCTTCAATTCGGCCTCCTTTCCGAAATCTTGCTCCCACACAGAACGCAGGTTTCTTTCAATCTCGCGTTACCCGACCTTGCTCCCTCTGCACTTCCGGCGCTGCCTTTTTGTGCAAAATCCCCTTCCGGCTCTGTCTCCTGCAAGCCACCGAGCCGCACAAGTCCTTCCAAACTGACCACCTGCAATTCTTCTTGAGGCAAATCCTCTTGAAGCAAAGTCCCTAATGGATAATGCAAGCAAAGTCCGATCTTCTCAGGCGACCTAACAGAGCACCTACAATGTCTTCTCATTCCCAACAAAGAGGCAATGTTATAATTATTATATAACAATTATATAATAATGTTATAATTATATAAAATTGTATAATATTATATAGTGTTATAATTATTTACAAGCAAAGCAGAAGCTAATGCGCATCGTCATTGAATTATAAGAGTTGAAGGAAGTCCCGGGGTTTATACGATCCCTCGAAGGCCTCGGCCATCGATCTGATCAGGTCGAGTGGATTGAAGACCTGGAGACTATTTTTGGGATCGATTCGCTCCCCTATAATTTTTAAACAGGGCGAAAAAAACCCTCATAATTTGGAATCCTAAATTTATTTTTTCAAGCTCCACCCGAATGTCAAACCGCATGCTACATTCAAGAGATGAATAGTGCGACACCAATATTGACGTCGCACTGTTTACCAACGCCAAATCGAACGAGTATGATTTCAAGGAAAGGCGCTGCAAAAGCGGGAATATGAGAAAGAATATACACATATATTTATTTTTTGTAAAGAAATAGAGTTTAATTAAAATTGAGTTACTATATTTTGAAATGAAAAATGAGTTTTTTTTTTTGTGAGAGATGGTCTTAAACAGGTGGAATAATTGCTAAATAAGTTTTCTATCATAGATGACACTTAAAAGCAGCAGGAGATAGGCATAATTTGTAACACTTCAATTAAAATTTCGAGAAAAATCTAAATAAAAAATTAGAGTTGTTCTCATTAAAAAAGGGTAATGATATATATCCCTCTATTAATTATTCATTTAATAATTAATATTTTTTCCCATCTGACAATGTTAATAAATTGAGTTCAGATAACTAGTTTTAACTTCTAAAATTATTTTATTTTAATAAAATAAAATTAGCATAAATTTATAGGAAGATATTTATTCTAACAAAAACATGACTAAATTTTGCCAAAAAATCTTAACCTATTTTTCAAGTAAGGCTTCATTTGTGATAGCTTTCTTATTGCTTTCTACAACAACTTTTAAATACAAAATTTATTAGAAGCCACAAAAAAATAGTGATCAAAAGCTATCTCAAACAATCCTAAAATTGAGGTTAATTTTTGAACTCTAATTAGATTAATTAAATCAAAATTATCATAATATTGTTATGTGTTAAAACATTCGTGGCGAGATAGTGATAACAAGTTTGTTGTCTTAGCATTTCTACGAAGACCCAACACACACGCACCGGTAAGAGAGAATTGTATGAAGTGTAAGAGACCAAAATTTTTACTTGAAAAATCTCAAGAAAGGGAAAAATTCCAAGGCTTGGCCTGATAAAATTGATTTTATCAGTGTTCATTATTGAGGAAGACATTGATTCAATGTAACAAACATACAATATATATAACATATTATACAGTTGAAGTTAGAAAAACTATACGCAATGCGATATATCTTTAAGAGCTCATTTGCTTGTTTGTTTGTTTCTTCCCATTTGAGTTGAAGAGAACAAAGATCAAGAAGTTAAGTATAAATCCCCAGTCCCCACACTAATGTTGAGAGTCATAGTTAGCGTCGATGACATACATCAGTAGAGAAATTCCGTAAAAAAATTAATCATTTGGATTTTATTTTGATTTTAAACATTTTTATAGCTGATTTTATGAAAATGAGCACAATAAGTAATTAATTTAAGGAAAAGGAACTTAGCCATACAATCAAACTGAAACAAAATCTTACAAATTTTTAGTTAACTCCAATATCTCGAGAAGTTGAGTATGGCGAAGAAAAAAAAATTTCCTGCAAAGAAGCCGAACTTATCATTTATCGAACTGTTGGTAGCATATTAATATGTGCATATAAGCATATGGTGGTCATAGCTTGATTTAGAATTTGTTCACAAAATAAGTATCTGAGTTCATAAGGCATGCATGTATGCTTCATAAGCACATGAAAAGTATATGAGGACTAAATTAAAAGGTTTTAATTTAAAATCTACGAGTTTGAATGAAGAATTATTAGAAATTTATCATACAAAATAATTTTGTATATATTATGTAAAGGGTGAAAAATAAAAATAATCATTTCACTTGGAATAAAGAATAGTTTTAATCATGCCATCCTAATAGCATATTTCATTTAATCTTTGCTTTTTTTTTCCATAGGCCTTCTCTATCCTTCCATGTCAAACCTAAGAACTTCTAATAGAAAAAAAAAATCATAAGAACATGTATTAATAAATTAGAACTTTTTTTATTTTATATATATCATCAAAAATTTATCTTGATTAAGCACAAAGCTCTCTGAGGCAAAATCAAGTTAGAAACTTTCGAAATTAAATTTGGGATCATTTGAACTTTGATTTCAGTAAACCATAAATCAATTTCACCTAGCAAAACTATCTAGAGGCACATAGCTAAATATGAAAGGTTAAGAGAGTCACATGCTATTAATTTATAGGAAAACAATGTTCACCACTTTTGGTGAGGTTGACACTATTGGTTTACTACTCCGTTGTCTTATTATTTTCCTTGTGATTCGTCCACCTCCGGCTTTTTAGTCCAAAATGGCGGTGAATCGCCTTGTTGATCCTGGTTTTATTGATGGATCGACAAAATCTATCTCGTTCATGGACGCTCTTTCTGGGTTTTCCTCGGAGTCGCGATTTCCTGAGTTGAAAAATTCCTCGTTTTGTGGGTTTCCTTCCCTTTGGATCTCTGAAGAGGAATGTCTTGCGCTAGCGGCTCCTTTTCAGTATGCTTTAGTTGGCTCTTTCC